GGCGTCACGGGACGCCGCTAAGGCCGCCGCCGGACGGGCGGACGGACGGGGGGAATCATTTGTCTTGATTTCGCCCTAGCACTGGCGGGTTCATTCCTCTCGCGCGCGCGCAGCTTCGCCTCGCCCGCGCGCGACGCACAAACGAAAACAAACGATTTCCTGGCCGGGTGCCTCCGTTCCACTGCGATCGCGCCCCCTAACCTCCTATCGCTCGAGGAGACAGCGTCGGTGAGACCATGGGCGCCAGTGATGTTGGAGAGACCGCGCTGCCTAAACCATCGCCCTGTCTCAATCTGCAGCATTGGAACCCCTCCCGCTTGAACCTTGAAGTGGCGCCCGAGAGGAAGCCCGCCTGCCCCGTGAGCCCCGCCTCCCGCGTCTTCTCGACTGGTGCACAACGCGAGCGCGCCCGGACATTCCGCCGGGTCGCGGAAGTGGCGCTCCTATACTTGCACGCCAGCGAAGCGGGGCGCGCTGGCAGCGTCGCGCGAGGGCCAGCGCACGCGCGTGCAAATCTTGCCCGCAATTCAAGAACAACATCAAACATCCCAAGACCTTCCCCGCCGCGACGCAAGGCTTCCTTGGGCGAAAGAGCGACCGCTGTAACTCCAGGGGGGGCGCCGCTCAGGAACAGCCCGTCGCGTCCCTGCTCAGTTGACAGCGAACCAAGACCTTGTAATCTCTACTGGCCTGCGCAACCTCTGCCCCTGAAAATCGCGGAGCTCGCAATGAATCCTGCCAGGCCGCCCCCTTGACAGGGCCCACAGGACACGACCGCGCCGCTCCCCATTCCCACCTCGCCCCCCACCCCCCCGCCCCTCGAAAACAAAGCAGGCATGCTCGACCAGCCGTCCAGCTCCCCCAGTGCTCCTGTAATGATCCGACACGCTCATGCTGCGCACGCTGACGCTCGCGCCGACGTTGACGTTGAGCATCGTTTCTCCGACCCCCGTCCCCGGCGGCGCGGCCAAGGCCCAACTGGCGGTTTTACCCCCCTAGATTGGGATATAGGCCGTTCCCTTCGGGTCTCGAGGGGTGCACCCCCAACTGGCGCGGTAATTTGGTGTGGGTGTCAAAGGGGATGGGGATGGGGATGGGCGTCGGTTAGTCGATGCTGACATGTCGAGTAGCTGTAGACAGAGGGCGACGCTGACCAACCAGAACCCCTCCTCCGTCGATCCCTCAAGCCGACGCAGAAGCCGCAGACGCTCTGCCAGCCGCCCTTCCGAATCTCGCCGCAGTCGCTGGCGTTTGACACTCGTGAACGGTGTCTCCACAAAGATAGTTTAGCCCACCTCGATGAGGGCACTGTTCAGGCGATCGGAAACATAGTCAGCCGTCGCCTCGGACAAACGGTCGTCCAAAAGAACACCTTCGCCTGGGAATCGCCCCCGTAATGCTTCCAGGAATTCTCAGCGTCGACTGCCGCCACGCACGCTTATCACGGGGATATCAAAAGTTCAAAGCGATCTCGTCTGGTGAGCTTCAGGGCCGCCATCTCTGATGCCAGCGCACGTGGAGCTACTGCATGCACCCCCCAGGTGATTGCACGGCCGAGTTCCCAGGATGAGCTGCAAATCTGAACTGAATCCTCGTAGCGGTCCAGCTGGCCACATGAGTTGCACCAGTGGCCGAAGCAAGCAGACAAAACCGATCGGCGTCGCATGGACCGAAGTGGGGTAGAACGCGGGAGCAGAGCCGCGATAGGTGTTGGCCGACTGCACGTCGTGCTCAGACAGGATAGGTCCCACCAGCCTGCCAGCGTCGTGAGCCTGAGTCGACGTCTCAGGCGGCACCACACTCAGCTCATCATGTGCCGAACAACTGATACCACCACGCGCTATGCCCATCCCATCGCTGAGATCACAATGCCCATCCCATCGCTGAGATTATAAAAGAAAGCTTCGAGATGACATTGCTGGCGACGAAGCGAAACATTTTGCGATTCAGTCGGCCATCCCCAACACGCAGTACGATGACAGTCCTGAGCTTGCATATCTCGCGGCGCCGGGGGGAAGTAGTAGAATACATGTTGCTGTCATGGTCACGCCCATCGCCCCGTTAATCGCACGGGCCTGTAGTCATCTACCTCTGAACGACTCTGTAGCCGGCGTGATTTGGAACATGTATTCTGACTTGAACCGCGCACACGCGCACATTCGTCACGCACGGCGACGCCACAAAACCAGCATCACGACAGAGCCGTTTGGAACAGTTTCCCTCTCCAGCCTGGATCTGCCGCCGACGAATGGTGTTTCGTTCCTGTTCGTTCCCGTTTCGCTCCTAACACCGCCATCGTATGAAAAAATGTAGCTCTCCGAGCAACATCCTCCACCAGGTCGAGAGCGTTGGCGACAACAGGCTGCAACCCCCGAGTCTGACATTAAGCATTCCCATTGCGAACAACAGCCAACAGCGGAGGAACAACAAACGTTCCGTGTGTGCGCGTAGGTACACAAAGAGTGCAACTACGTGATCGGACGACGCCCTTTAGGATCGAAACTTGGCCCGTGTAGCTTAGAAGGGGGACTAAGGGAGCGTCGTACGCAACGTCCTGTATAGCAAGGGGCCAAGACCTGAGAGAGTTCGGAAACACCCATGCTGTGACGTTTCTGGAAGACTGTCCGCCACCGTTGACGGGAAGAGAGGAAGGATGCGAAGGTAATGCCCTTCTCGAACGATCACCTCCGCCGCAAGCCCCGGCCAGAGCGAAGCACGAGAGGCTCTTGTGGAATCGGCGCCCAACTCCTCCTGACATCCTCGCAACGCGGGGCTGGATGAATGCTGCCATGGATGGGAGGCGCAGCACCCCTGACAAAAACAGGAGCGACCACAGCGAAACCGTGTCCCAGTGGCCGCAAAAGGTCTGGTCAGTCCGAATCGTCAGATCATCTGGGCGGCGCGCGCAAGAGGGGTATGGACGGAGGGGGAGAGGGCTTCTTGGCAGGAGGCTGCTTCTCTCAAGGCGCTGGCCAAGGGCCGCGCCTTCTAAGAGGCAGCCTCCTTCTGAGAAGCCTTCCCCCCGCTCCCCTCCCCCTGCCCTTAGGTCGGGCATGTCCTCCTACAGGCGGGTTGAGGAAAAATAGCAATAGTCAAACATACTCCAAAGTTGCCAAAAGATGCTAGCAAAATCGTCCCTGGATGTTTTCCTATATTGAAGTACTTCTCCTGTACAGGGACATGCCCAACTTAACCCTGCTCTCACGCTGCACCGCGGCCGATCTTCTCCGACGTCCTCCCCGAGGGCGAGGGCCGCACACGCACACGCCTCAGCTGGGCAGCGCCAGTGGGGGCTCCCCTGGTCTTCCCCTCGACCGACGGCTGGCCGGTTGGGAGGCCGTCAGCACACGACGAAGGAGGAGAGGCAACTCGAGGGTTCTGGGATACCCTTGCAGGGGCATGTTGTACCCTCAAGCGTTTTTACATCCTCGGGGTTTTACACCCTCGGTGTTTTAGACTTCCGGGTTTTTTTGATACCCTCGGGTTCGTAGACCCGCAGACGTCCCGCAGAGTGGGGGAGACCACGCAGGGGGCGCCTGGGGCTCGCCCGATCTCACCTGCACTGCACGGTCGACGCACGCCGCAGATGCGGGACGGTGACAGCAAGGGGAAAGGGAGCCACACCACGGGGAAAGAGAGAATGAGAGGGTGAAGGGGCCCTGGGACACACACAAAGAAATACACACTAATAAAAGGATTCCCCATATGTTCCCATGTTTTCGGGTTTCTGTCTTCCCCCCACTGCCCATATTTTCATATGTTTCCCTACCTAGGCTCTGCCTAGAAGGGTTCTTACTCTCTGAGCCTAAAGGGGCTGGGCAGTGGGGCTCGGCACGGGCGGTTCCCCCAGGATCCGCCCCGCGGTTCCCCCAGTTACGTCCCCTTAGCTTAGCGTTGCTTATCTCATCTTAGCTTAGCTTATTCCCCCCCTCGGCTCTGCCTAGAAGGGTTCTTACTCTCTTTCTTAAAGGGGCCGGGCAGTGGGGCTCGCCCTGGGCGGTTCCCCCAGTATCCGCTCCGCGGTTCCCCCAGTTGTGCCCCATGGGTTCACCCAGCTTAGCTTAGCTTAGCTAAGTTTAGCGTAGCTTAGCTTATCTCATCTTAGCTTAGCTTAGCTTTACCTAGTCTAGCTTAGCTTAGCTCAGCCGAGCTTAGCCTAGCCTAGCGTAGCTTAGCGTAGCTTAACTTAGCTTAGCATAGCTTAGTTTAGCGTACCGTAGCTTAGCTTAGCGCAGCATAGCGCAGCGCAGCATTAGCACAGCATAACATAGCCAAGCATAACATAGCATAGCATGGCATATCATTGCATAGCCCATCACAACATAGCATATCATAGCATAGCATGGCGCAGCATAGCATAGCATAGCATAGCATAGCATAGCATAGCATAGCATAGTATTGATTAGCATAGCACGGCGCAGCATAACATAGCATAGCATAACACAGCACAACATAGCATAGCGCAACATAGCATAGCATAGCATATCATAGCATAGCATATGATAGCATAGCATAGCGCAACATAGCTAAGGTAGATGTGAATGTAGCTGTAATATTTGCAGGTGTAGATGTAAATGTAGCTGTCGGTGTAGATGTAGATGTTGCTTTCCTAAATGCTCCAACTCCTAGGTAGGGTCGCAGTGGGATAACTCTCCTCCTGGGAGGGGGAAGACGAGGGGAGGACCCTGCCCCACCCGACCCGCCCGCCTGCTGAGCCGGGCAGAGGGGCGGGAAGGCGGGCTGCAGGGAGAGACCTCGGTGCGGGATGAGGAAGAAAAAAGAGGAGGGATGAAGGAGGAGGAGGAGGAGGAGTAGGAAGGAGGAGGAGGAGGAAGGAGGAAGGAGAGGAGGAGGAGGGGGAGGGCGAAGAAAAAAGGATGGGAGGAGGAGGAGGAGGAGGCGGAAAGAGGAGAAGACGCGGACGCCGCCGGGCGACTGCACCGGAGCCTTCTCCCGCCGCCGGCGCCCCGGCGCCACGGCGCGCGCGCGGGCCCCCCCGCCTGCGTCTTGTACTGGACGTCCTTGCCCTTCAGGGCGGTCGCCTCCGCGATCTCCTGCGCCCTCTTCTCGTAGGCCTCCGCCTCTGGGCCACAGCCAAAGCACGAGAGGGAGGCAGGGAGTCGGGGAGGGAGGGAGGGAGAGGGAGGAGGAGGAGGAGGACAACTACGACAACGACAGCGACGAGGAGGGGCAGCAGCCTTCGTGGAAGACGAGCTGCACAAACACGAATCTTCTAACCAGCCTTCGCAAACAGCGACGACAGTCTCACGGAGAGGCCCTGAGAAACCGAGGGAATCCTTAAGATCGGCATCGAGGTGAGGTGATACCAAGCATAGGGGTAGGGAAATGTTTCAAACTGGTAATTTGCGCGGATCCGTGCGGACTCCTGCATCGGCGCTGAAGTTCCTGTCGGCGCCTCCGGCGCCGCTACGCCCCAGCGCCGATCCAAAAAAACCTTTTGGACCTCCGATGTGTTGTGCTTACCCGCCAGTCGGAAGCAGGAAGCCTGGACAGCCACAGGAGAGAGCCTGCGAGAGGGCCCCACTGCCTTCACCGCAAGCGTTCTCTGAAACAGCAGTCCAGCTCCAGATCTACAGCAGCCCTCCTACAGGCGGATTTTGGACGAAAGATAGAAATAGTAAAAAAAATTCTTGCCAAAAAAGAATACTCAAGAAAGTCGCACCCCGAATGTTGCGACTATGCTTGAATACCCCTCCTGTAGAAGGACAGGCCCGACTTAACTCTACGATGGAACAAACTCCAAGAAAACGCCCAGGACTCGGTTCAGATTCTTGCTGTTCTATATTATACGAGACAAGAGACCTCGGGCGAGGCGCACTCCTAGCAATACCCGGACGACAGTCGGCGACGAGCGGGGGGGGGGGGGGGGGAAAGGGAGAAGGAGAAAAGCCCTTCTCAGAAGGCGGCAGGGCTTCTCGGCAGGCCTCCAGCCTTCTGACAGGCTCTCGGCGCCCTCGGAGAAAAAAAAGGCTTCGAAAACTCCGCAGGAGGCCGGGGGACTCCCACTGGCCATCGCTCGGACGCCCGTTCCCTGTGCTTTTTTCGGTTTCGTGCGTGGCGTTCTCCTAAAATGATCAAGGATGCTCCTCGATGGTCCTCGCCGAAGGAAAATGCCCGCGTCCGAGCGATGCCAAGTATCACTTCCCCCCCTCGCTCGCCGCCAGAAGAAGGCCGAGAGAGGGCGGCAGGCGGAGGAGGCGCAGGAGGGCTGCTCAGGACGCTGCCGCTCCACATACGCTGCGGGGCAAAAAGCCGGCGGCGCGCCGGTGATTGCAGGGTGGAAAGGAGAGAAGGGGCGGGCCTTCTCGATTGGGCGCGAATTACCGGGGGGCGGTGTTTTTTTAAGGGGAGAGAGGTGCCCATCTCGGACCCCAAAAGCCCGTGTCTGGACCCTGGAGGGCCCCTATTTGGGGCCAGAATGGGCCCTGGGGGGCCCCGTTTCTGAAGCCCGCGCTGCCCCCGTAGCTTTCGCCCGCCACTGCGCCTACGTCGGGCCTGTCCCCCTACAGGGGCATTTTGGACGAAATATAAGAAATAGTCAAACAATGTCCTAAAATACCCAAACATGGTAAAACAAATAATCCCCAGACTATTTTTTCAACTATTTTTGGATGTTCCTCCTGCAGAGGGACAGGCCCGACTTAACACTACGCGCCCCCCAACTCAAAAGGCTCTGAGGGGCTCTGGCCGTCTGAGAAGCTTTCGGAACCTACTCGGGAGCCCCGCCGGCTTCGGAGAAGGCCTGCTTCCTCTCACTCCTCCCCTCGGCGCGCTACAGGGGAAAAGATGCGGATACGGTACCGGTGCTCCTTAGAACTCTCCACTAATGCGTGCGTGCTGCGCAGAATCTCGAGGCGACTTCAGCCGCGGCGCTGGGGGAATAGCAGCGGCATCGGATCTTTTCTCTCCAGGCTGAGGGGGGCCCAGGATACACAAATAAATACACACAAATAAAAAGTTCCCCATATTTCCTCATATTTTCGGGGGTTCTGTCTTCCCCCCCACTTCCCATTTTCCCATATTTTTTGGGGAATCGACGATTAATTGTGTCTGTGTGTTTCTTTTCCTCCTGACAGGCATCCTGCGCCACTCCGACAGGCCACAGCGTGGGCAGGGAAGGAGCACGCCGTCGCCTGGTCGGCCTCCTCCTGCTCGATGGTCGCGAGCTCCTTCGCGAAGTCGGACTGGCAGACCTGTGTGTAGGAGGGGTACACACCAGAATAAACGCATGCTGCATATGAGCACGACATAGAAATCTATCCGGTCCTCCTCGGGCATGAGGGAGAGAGGTATGGAATTGTAGCAGAAGTGCACGTGGTACAAGATACAAGTGTAGAGCGGGACGAAGGTGTAGGGGGAGTGATCGCCGGCAGTGGCGGGAAGAAAGCTGCTTGTAGTGGGGGACGCCAGGGGGGGAACGTAGGGGGGGCACCGCTTCTGTGGAGCGTCCCAAAACCGCGTGTGGTGACAGACCGTGCGATGGCCTCGGAACCCGAAGGGACCTCACCGCCCCGGTCCGCCACCGCACAGCCTGGGGACCCCTGGGGGCCTCTGTCGCCCGAGAGACGCCCTCGGAGAACGCCCCGGGTTCCAACACCGTGCAGTGGCCCGAGTCCCCACCGACTCACCACACGGTGTGGTCACCAGCGCGAATCCAAGAAATCCGCACGGAGCGCAACAGTGTATGTTTATGTGGCTTCTTCTTCTTCTTCCTCGACGTCTGGGGGCCTCCGAGAATCGGACGCCATCGACACCGACCCGAACCGAACCAAACCAGAGCCGAGCCGAGCCATGCCAGGGGCCCAGCCGGGCAGGGGCCCCTCTCGCCACACGGTGTGGGCAGCCCCACCGTCTGGCGGGCCCCCGACGCTGGGCGGGCGAGGGCGCGGGCGTCGCGCCGCCATCGGATCCGGGGAGCTGGCCCTGGACAGGGCGGCGCTTATAAGGGCCTCGGCCCCAGGACCTTCGCTGGAGCACTCAGAGTGTCTGAATGAGCGTCGGGGGGGCGTCACCCCCGCCGACAGTCCCGCATCGACCCCCGTCGCGGGCAGAAACGCTCATCAAGAAACCCAAGAGCAGTTCTCGATGATCTCTCCGTCGGCTCAGGGTGGGGCAATGGGTGAAACGTCGAGCTCGAATCTGCGACACGTCGCCGATAGATCGGCAGTAGGCACCCGATAGCGAAACCGCACCGTCGCGGGCGGGGCGAGCTATCTAACCCTGAACCGGTGATGCATCGGCGTTTGGAGCATCGGCGTTCGGGGATAGTCCCCCCGTAACGGTGTCCCTGAGATACCCCAGCCCAGCGTCCGAGTGGATTTCCCTGGATTTCCCCGCGGACAGCGCCCGTTGTTTGAGACGTCTCGAGTACCTCTGCGACATGTTCGGCCGCTTTGGCCGCCAGGTGCACCCAGCCCACGTAGTCTGGGGGGCTGGGGCCGTCGCGCATTGGCCACAACACTGCAAGACCGACAAGCGGGTTCAGCAACACTGCGAGACAGTATGCCAACGTTCCCCGCACAGCTGCCCGCGGCAAGTCGTACGTCGCACAGAAGGGGGCTATCACGCTTCGAGTGCCGCCTTGGGCACTGCTCTCCTCCAAGACCCTTTGGCCTTGAGCCTGTGGCGGTCGCAACACGTACCACACGCTGCCACAGTTCAGCAATATACAACAAGATAGCGCACTAAATCGAAGTCGCGGCGCAGTATGCACTAAACATTGCAAAACAAGGGGAAGAGGGTTCGCAAATGGTCTCTGACACTTCTGTCGCACCGAGGTATTGGAACAATGCCAAGGGGGGTCGCAGACGCTTCTGTCGCACCGAGGTGTTGGAATAATGCTCAGGGGGGTCACCACTAGGTCAGGCGCGAATTAATGGGGGGCGATAAATGTGGGGGGCAGCAATGTGTCCTTTTCGGACCCTAGCGGCCCTCTTCTGTAAAAGGCCCCTGTTCAGCAGCCCTCGCTGCCCCTCTTTTCACCGCCCTCCCATTACGCGTCCTCCGGGGGTCGTCACTTTTTCTAGAAAAAATACATTTCCTCAAGGAAATGGGACCCCAAGAAGGGTCTAGTGCCTAACAAAATCACCCCAAACCGTCCAAGTACCTCCTGGAGCATCGATCCTGGAACCTCCAATCCGAAAAGGTGGTGACTGTCAGGAATGGATCCGGGAGGACCACTGCCCCCGGGGAAGCGGTCGGGACCACTAAGGCGGAGGATTGAACAACATCATGTCGACGGGTGTAAGGCATCCTCCCCCTGCCTCTCAACCTCTCCGTCATCCCTCCTCCTCCCTCCTGCTTCTCCTTGATCACCCTCCCTCTGTCGTCAGATGAACCCTGTGCAAATGCCATCATCCAACGCATCCAGGGGCCACTGTTGAAGTCGGCCCTTGAACAGAGCCAGGCTATTGTTTCTGGCAAGTGCTAAGTCCTTGCCGCCGAAGACATCATCCTCATCCTCCTCTCCTATCCTCATCCTTCGGTGACAACTCGTGGGAGCCTCGCGTGCCATACTGCTAGCTCCTGCGAGTCGACGCTAACCGACGCCGATCGGCGTCAACCGACGCTGTTCGACGCGACTACGAAACGCCAACGCACGCTTGTGCGCTCAGCAAAAAAAGGAACCGCAGTCGGGGCGTTGACCAAAGGAACCCTAAATAAGGAACGAGGCCCCTTTTCTCCAGAAGTTGAATTTCGATTTCCCTTCGAAAACCCAAGGAAAACGCTGGGCAAACTGTGAAACTATTAAGGAACACGGAGCCCCTACCCAACGAAAAGAGTTCCTCCTTCAGGGCCCCGACTGTACGAGGACCCACAAGGCTCCCACCATGAGTTGCCATCGACCCTCTATCGTTGAACCCCTCGGTGACGTGTTCAAACATGGGCCCCCTGCTGCACATCGTTCCTGGGCCGTCCTCGGCGGTCCTTCGGCGGTTGTCCGCGGACTTCGGCGGTCTTCGGACGGTCTTCGGCGGACATTTTGGGTTTTCCAGTGGTCTCTGGCGCGAAAGCTGGATGGCTGCACTCAACAAAGGGATGGTTGCGTTCCACGAGGGGTCCATGATCGAAAACCTGCTCGGGACAGCGGCACGATAGACAGTGGCATGATAAGACAGAACGACCATGCATGAGGGAGGAGGAGGAGGAGGAGGAGGAGGAGGAGATTGCATCCTCTCCTCCGCCTCCTCCTCCTCCTCCTCCTCCTCCTCCTCCTGATGGGACACGGCCGAATGGCATGATTGGACGACCGCCGACCCAAGTATTCTCCGACGAGCGAGCGAGACGTGGCAGGAGGCAGGGGAGGTCGAGGGAAGGGAGGAGGGTGGGGAAGAAGTATTGAAACGATTCTGGCGCGAGGGGCCCAATTATCCAAATGATCATGGCGAAGGGCCCGATTATCATGCAGGTGCAAGTGCCGCAAGACAGGCGAGACGAAGGAGGGGGGCTCCAGATGGGACCACGGAACGTGTTGGCGGTGCGCACAAGGGGGTAAGGCAAGAGGCTAAGGCTTCCTAGAAGGAGGCTGCTTCTTAGAAGGCGCCGGCACTACATCTATAGTCGGGGGCGCGCAAACACGGATTAGCGATCCATGAAATTGGCGCGCGGTCGCCAAATCCATGGATCGGGGGAGGTGCCCTCCCCAAAGTGCGGTCGGTGCCGCCCCGTTCGGCGGCGGAAATCTGCGAATTCCCATGGAAACAAGACCCGTCGCTAGTCCACGCCCCCCTGATCCAGGGTTGCGATCGCCCGACACAGACAAGGCCCGCGCCTTCTGAGAAGCAGGGTGTGCTTCTCAGAAACTCTCCCCCTCCCCCTTACTTGAGCAGGGACCGACCGTCCCGGCATTTCTGTAGTCCTACCACGACATGTTCTTAGAACCCAACAATGCTTTAAGAACAAAAACAAGGTTCTTGGAACTTAAGCCTGATGTGTTAGAACGAGACAGCCCCAGCCAGGAATGTTCTAAATACAATTCGTGGAAACCACAAAAGGTTCTTAGAACGTTGTTTGGTCGGGCTATAGGCGAGCCAGGACGCTTCGCCACTGCTTGACTTACCCCCCCCCTGCGCGTGGCCGCAGCGCGTGGAGGGTGTGCGGGAGTCCCTGGGGACGCAGGCGGGCCCTGCCACCGGGGCCCTCGGCGGACCGCCCCACGGGGCCACGGCACGTGCGACGGGGCACTGCCCGCAGGATGCGGGCAGTGTTAAGTCGGGCGTGTCCCCGTACAGGGGGATTTTCGACGACAAGTGCAACAACAAAAAACAAAACAAACATCGTCCAAAAACGCAAGAACAAAATAGTCCCTGGACGATGTTCGGATCATGTTTTGACTATGTTTGGGGCATCTTTTATGTTTCGTCGAACATCCCCCTGTATGGGGGACGGGCCCGACTTGAGGGCAGGGCTCCGCTGCCGAGCGCGCCCCGCGCCCGTGCCCGAGGCGGGCGCCGGGCGCGCCGCGGGGGCAACCAGCGGGGCGGCTCCCCGGGGAGGCGAGCGGCCGGCGAGGCAGGCCCCCGCCGCCCGCCGTCGCGGAGCGGGCCCGCGAGCCCGCTGGGCCCCCCCGGGAGGCACCTCCGGGAAGGCCCCTCGCGAGAGCGCTCGGGTGCTTCCCCCCCGCTGCCCGTCATGCCCACCTCCTCGTCCTGCTCCTGCTCCTGCTCGTGCTCGTGCTCGTGCTCGTGCTCGTGCTCGTGCTCGTGCTCGTGCTCGTGCTCGTGCTCGTGCTCCTCCTCCTCCTCCTCCTCCTCCTCCTCCTTCTCTTCTTTCTCCTCCTCCTCCTCCTCCTTTTGCCTTCTCCTCCTCCTCGCCTCCCTCTTCCTCCGCCTGCTGAGACCCGTTGGTCCCCCAGGCATGGTCGGCGGCACCGGCCGTCAGGCCTCTTGAATGCTGAGGCGGCCATTGGGAGGCCCGCGGCCGACGCGGTGAGCCTCTGCCGCCGACGTCACGGATCGAGCCTCCGAGCCCGTGGGGGGTATCTCACTAGGAGGCATCTCCTGGGAGGCCTTCGCAAGAACGAGTGAGCTTATGATGGGCGCAGCCCACCTTGGAGGCCATCGCCCCAAATCGACTCCGACATACCAAAATTGCCTCCAAGGAGTGTCAGCTCCCTGGTGTCTGGCACACCCGAGGTGTGGCTGAAGGGTGTGGCACGTTGCAGCATGTCACCTGACATTTCGCGGCTAAGTGTGCGGCGACGGAGCGGCACACCCGAGATGTTGTTGAAGGGTGGCGGGCGCCACGGCATGACACTGCGCGTTCCGCGACGAAGCGTAGGCCGCCGAAGCGACACATCCAAAATGTTGCCGAAGGGTGCAGGGCGCCGCAGCGGGACACTGTTTTTGACACTCCTGTGACACTCTGTGGACACTCTCTGGACGCTCTTTTGACACTCCGAAGATGTTTGCTTTGGCAGGTCGACACCTCGCAGAATTGTGTCGGGTGTCTGGTCTGGGAGGCCGACACAATGCTGTGCCTTCTCAGGTGTCTGCTCTGGGGGGGGCCACACCTCACAGACTTGTTGAAGGCGTCTGCTCTGAACTACTGACTTCCCTCACGGCAAATTCGAGTGACTGGACCCCCTCGCTGACACCTTCCGCGGACACATCAAAGATATCTCCATGTGGGTTCAAGACTGATGTAACATATACATTCCCAAGGTATGTCCGCACATCACAAGAATAATAATCAAGTACATCAAGCCCGATCGAGGAGTCATGAAGCCGTACCAGGCTGGATTAAGCTGGGGAGGAAGCTGCATTAAACCAATGAAGGACGGTGCAAGGCGGGATTGAGCCGGGCTAAGGCGGGATGAAGCCGCATTGAGGCGGGATTAAGAAAAATGACACTGGCGTATCGCGAATTAGGCCAATTGTCAAAAACCGACATACTAGGGCCGAGCCGATCCTCAATTTGACCTCATCGTATACGGGGGATGCCGCCAAACCCAGATCTCCGACAATCGCATTGCGCCAATCCGGGTGGATGTTCTTGGGTCTCGGCCTCCAGGGCCCGCTTCGGGGCCGTCGGCGATGCATCCAGGGCGAGAAGCTACCTACCCCTGGGGAAACGGAAGGGACCTCTGAGGCCGCAGGTTGAAACAAAGGCAGATCGGCGGCTGTCAAGGAACATCGACCTGGAACCAGCAACACATCGCAAGTGGATCGGCGCAGGGCCCCCAATAGCGAATGCGCACGTTCCTGGGCGGGGCGGGCCATCGGGCCCCCCTCGGCGATGGAGTAGACGAGTGGGGGTCGACGCGTGCCCCCTGCGCCGATCCCCACTGACGTTGCCACAGACCCCATGACAAGGGGCCCCACAGCGACCCGGCATCGGAAGTGGAGCAGGCGTCGTGCACGGGGTACGCACGGCGCCAAGACGAACTCGGCAGAAACGGTGCATATCCCCAGCACTGCATACGGAAGCAGTGGTCAGAGCGAACATGCAGGATAGAGGCGTGCGCATCGGAGACGGGAGGAAGAACGAGAACGGCATGGCGAACACAGGAGCAAAGGGGAACCCACGTCAGCAAATTCGTTGTCTGACCTCCAAGATATCGATGATGCTGCCCCCGGCGCCAGATGACTTCTTGTGGAACACCGGCTTGGCAGGCTGGTCATCATCTGTCTGCAACAGGGCTGCGTCCTCTCCTGGGAGGGAAGGGAGGAGTGAAAGTGGGGAGCGATACCCGTCGCGCGTCTTTTCCTAACGTGCGCACTCCCCTGAGGGCCCAGGTCATTTCTCTGTCTGCCGCCAATTCGTCTCTGGCGCGCGCAGGCGGACGAATGGCTGTTACGTCCGCCCGAGCGCTGCGCAGAGTTCCCAAAGAAATCGTACAAGTCTCGCACATCCAGCCGTCGGAAGCGGAAGAGGGGGAGCGCGTGAGCGTTGGCGGCGCGCAGAGAGGGGTAGGGGCAGAGAGGAAGACTTCTTAGTAGAAAGAGACTGCTTCCTAGAAGGCGTCTGCCTCACACTCATGGACAAGGCCCGCGCCTTCTAAGACGCAGGGGTTGGCGGCGCGCAGAGGGGGGTAGGGGGGCATAGGGGAAGGCTTCTTAGTAGAAAGAGGCTGCTTCCTAGAAGGCGTCTGCCTCACACTCATGGACAAGGCCCACGCCTTCTAATAAGCAGGGGTGCCACTGAGCAGCCTTCTCCCCCTCCCCCTTACCCCCCTCTGCGCGTGGCCGAGCGCCGGTTAACTGCTGCTCGCCCAAACGCCGCGCAGAGTCTGCCTGCAAGCGGTACGCCCGCGCGCTCGCGAGCCCTGTCGGAAATCCGGCCGCGCGCGAGGGGGCTGCGTGGCGACGGCGCCGAGACGCCGCGCAGGGAGGTCTGGAGAACTCGGTCCCGCCTGTGCCGTCGGAGCCCGGACCGCGCGCGCGCCAGCGCCTGCGGCTCGCGAGCCAGGGGCGCGCACCGGTGCCAGCGCAGCGTGCCAGCACTGATGCGCACGTGATGGGAGGAGGAGGAGGAGGAGCAGGAGAGGGATGAGGAGGAGGAGGAGGAGGAGGAGGAGGAGGAGGAGGAGGAGCAGGAGGAGGAGGAGGAGGAGGAGGAGGAGGAGGAGGAGGAGGAGGGGGGCAGTGACATATGGGGGAAGCGTCGACCTGGAATCGGCGGGGCAGCGCCGATGGATCGGCGACAGGCCCGTCGACAGCAGGTCCCCACGTTCCTGGGCAGGGCAGGGCCATCGGGCCCCCATCGGCGACGAAGGGGCGAAGGGGGGGTCGATGCATCCCCCCCCTATGCTTCTCCTCCCCCCTACTGTTGCCCCCGGGGTGCGAAATGGGCCGGGCCCGCTGTCTCGCTCGAGCTGGCTACACTGACCCATGTCTTATTCCTTGGTGATGTGTGCTCCCACGATGCCTTCCACAAGGGCACTCTCAGAGGGCGCGGAGGCCCCCCGACCTTCCGAGAAACGCTCCGGGCCTTCCCCCAAAACACACACACACACACACACACGAAAAAACGTCAACGTCTCCGAGGGCGCGAGGGCCTCCGAGAAGCCCTCGCCGCCTTCTGAGAGGGCCTTCTCTTTCGCGCTTCCCTCCCTCGATCGCCGCCGAACGCTGTCACGTGCGCTCGGGTGTCTCGCGAAACTTCCACAAGGGCTCCCAACTTCGCGCTCTCGCGCTCCGCGAAGCGCGAAGCGCGAATACCTTCGCGCTCTCTCGCGCCGCCCCCCCAAAGGGAGAAAAGGAGGACGCGAGGACCGCGAAGCACGAATAATTTCGCGCCCTCGTGGGAGCCCTTGCTTCCGTACCGGGGGTCTATCGTGCGAGGGCCGGAGCGGACGCGTCTCTCGGACATTCCTCGAGCTGGCCGACGCGTTCGCGCTGGCTGGCCCGTCATCTCTGTCTCGAGTATAGGGCCCCTGCGTGGCCACGCAGCCGGCCGATAGCCACCACATCTAGGGATGTCCACCTTGCGTGTCCATGGTGCAAGGAAATCGAGATCCATGCTCTCCACAGCGACGTCTGTGGCGCCCGCGCTGCGAAATCGGCAGCACCAGGAGCGGGACGGAGCGGAACGCGCATCCCGCATCCTGTCGCCCCCGCGCCTCGCTCACGTGAGTGACTACCTACCAGACCACCCCAACCCAACCCGAAGATCCGAATTTCGGGTTGGGGGGGTACGGGTCCCATATGTGTTTTCTCTATGTTCCCCGAACCCCCCCCACTGGAAATGGAGGCTAATTTGAAGCCTTCGGGTTGGGTTGGGGTGGTTTGGTGGGTGGTGAGAACGCGCATCCCGCATCCTGTCGCCCCCGCGCCTCGCTCACGTGAGCTGTCGCGGCGCACGCACGTCGCGCGCCGCTTCGTCGGCGCGCGAGCGAGCCCACAGGTGCGCTCTCGCCGTCGCGCCGCGAAGAGCTCGCCCGAGTGGCGCGGACACTCGGCGCTGGCCAAGCTCGGGCGACTCGTGTCGCCCTCGCCCAGGCTCGGTGCACACTTTTAGCCTCGAGGTGCAACAGCCGCGCGGGCGACGCACTCGTTGCTTTCGCCGACTCGCCAGGAGGCGGCAGCGGCAGCGAGGCCGCGCGAGAGCGGGCGGAATGCCGTCCTTGCCCACCGAGTGCCGCGCAGTGCGCGCGTGAAAGCGGCAGGGCTGTTTCGTGTTGGCACGCGCTTCGTCTTCGTCGCGCTCATCGGAAGTGTTTCCGCTTCCACCGCCTCACCGCCCGCGTGGTTCATCTATCTCCGAGAACAAGTCGCGCAACAACGCATTACGATACGTTCGATCGCAGGTTAATCACCTCGGATCGCGTTCCAATCCCAATATCAAGTTTCGGGGATAGACAGACCTCCCTTGAGTAAAACGTGGTTCAGTGAAAACGACCTCGGGCCCAAACCTGGCGGGCGCAAGCCTGGAAAACAACGGCCGCGGCGCCCTCTCGAGAACCGAAGAAGGACAATTCACATCCCGACGTGTCAGGGTAGGAGGTCTGTCCACCCCCAAAAGTTGTGCCACGACACGTTCTGATGGTCTATTGGAGGGTGGGGGTGGGCGGGGCCTGCTGACTTCAATGGAGCTAACTGACCCTGCTCCGACCCCATACGTGCTCAACACGCGTTGCACAAAATGACAGCTTGGGGTCCACACGCTGACGTCGTTGCGTTTGCTGTTTGAGTGCTGCTGTGTTGGATGCGGTTCGAAGAAAAATGGTATCAGGAATGCTTACGAGCGACCCGAGACGGCCCGAAAGCTTCCCAAAAACAGCCCGAGATGGTCCAAGGGCAGCACAGCACAATACGGCTGCCGGACGGGCCCCAGAGGGATTCAGAGGCCACCGAGACTGCACGTGATGATGCCCCCCCAGGGCATCAAGACCGCCAAAGACAACACCCAAGGGGTCCCAGGGCGCCCCAAGACGGCCCAAGAGGGCCCCAGGAAGCCGCCCAGACGCTCAAGAAGCGCAACAAGAGAGATTGCAAACGCAGCTAGGGTAATTGCAAGACATTCCCTTTCGCCTCACCCCCTCTCTCGCGAATCCCCTTCTCATCGTCATCTCTCTCTGCCTTGCCCTCGTCCCCATGTTCCTCGTCCTCATGCTCACCTCTAGTGCTCTCTCTCTCTCTCTCTCAATGTCCTTCATCAGCGCCTGCAGCGGCAAACAGATCGAGGGGTCGCCAGGTCTGGCGTCAGCCTAACCATGTACAGAGGGTAGCGCGGCCCAAACAGTACTACCTCGTCCGTGCGTGCGCTCTCGACCATGAAGCTCCGCCCAGGGCAAACGCCCAGTATTTTACAATTTACCAATTCTGGGGGTCAACGCTAAGGTTAAGTCGGGCGCGTCCCCCTACAGGCGGATCTTGGACGACAAACATTAAAACAGAATCCAATCCAAACATACTCAAAAATGGTCAAGAATGTCCCCCTCCCCGACTTAACGCTAGGGACAGTGTACCCAAAACGCCCCCGAGAAGCCCATCCCCTCCCGACCAGCCTCAAGCCCCCCCGGACGGCCCAGGACCCCGAGGCCCCGCAATCCCACCACGGAGGCACGCGAGAAGCCGAGAGGCCGCCCAGGAAGCATCGCGGCAACCCGCGCCACGGCCGTGCCACGCGACGGTGCTGCTGGGCATGTGCAGTGGCCCCACCTGGGCATGCAGCTGATGCTTTAACGGGCGAAGAACGGTATCAAATAAACTGTTTCGCCGTCGGGGGCGCCTGTCTCTGGGCGGCTAGAAAGTTTATACCCCTACGATGCCACCGTAAGGGTATAAACGTTCCAGCCGCCCTGGGGCGGGTGTCCCCGACGGGGAACAAAATTATGGTATACCGTTCTTCGCCCGTTAACATGTGCAGTGGCCCCACCTGGGCATGCAGCTGATGTTCGACTTTGCCTTGCCGTCGCTCGGGCGCCCATTTCCCGTGCATGGTTCGGTTTCGTGCGTGTTATTTTTTGCTCGATGGTCCAGGATGGTCCTCGATGGTTCTCGCCGGGAGAAAATGCACACGTCCGAGCGATGCCAAGTTGCCTGGGTGCGTCTCGCAATCCACGTCATATGTATAATTGTGATCTTTGTTCCGCCCTCCCTTCCTGCCCCAAACTCCTCCTCTTACGACTCCTTGTCCTCGTCCGCTTTATCCTCAGCATCGCCATCATAGCCACCACATCAGCCATCACGTCACCATGTTCAGCACCACCCCCATCCACAGCACCACCCTCATCGTCAACATCATCATCACCACCATCATCATCGTCGTCATCATCACCACCACCATCATCATGATCGACACCATCATTCTTATCATCCCCATCGTTATCGTCATCGTCATCACCCGCCTGACTGCTGAATGCAGCCCCAATATGTGCACATGCGAAAATACATGTTAGCCAACGTGGATCCCAGACACTGGTTCTAGCAACCTATGTTGTGCAACCTCGGTGAGGCAATATAGGTCGTGCACTTGGCGTGGTGCAGCATACGATTTATGTGGTGCCATCTACGTGGTGCATTACAGATATGTGGTGCCATCGATGTGGTGCAATGTCTGTTGTGCAGTCTGTGTGGAGCAAGCTGCGTGGTGAAACAAATGTGGTGAAATCTGTGGCGCCAATAATCCGCAACCGTGCCTCTGGGCACGGAATGGGCGTGTCCACAGGTCCGTTGGCCAATCCCCTGAGCATGAATCCAAAGTCGTGAGGAGTGGCTCAAGGCCCCGGAGCCCAAACCCACAAATATCCCAGGGTTTGGCGTATGTCGGATGTGTCCCCCTACAGGGGGAGCTTCGACGAAAAATAAAAATAAAAATACCCCCAAACAGGTCAAAACATATTCAAAAAATAGTCCCCAGATTATTTTTGGATTATGTTTTGACTATTTTTGGGGTATCTTTGAAATTTCGTCGAAAATCCCCCTGTAGGGGGACACGCCCGACTGAAGGTCTTGCGCGGTTCTCTTGGGCCTTGGCGCATCTTGCCGCGTGCCCGGCAGCGCCCCGGGACGGTGCAAACAACCCAGGCACGGTGGCGTGATGGGCCGAAGGCCATTCGGGTCTGGCGAGAGGGGGGGATAGCAAAGGGGGGGGTTGAGAATCAGCTCACGTACCTGATTTTCCCGGCGCCTCCCGGCGCCGGAGGCGCCCATGTATCGAGGAATGGGCCCCTCGGTTGGGCCGAAACTAGCTGCCTGCAGCAAATTTCGTACCCCCCCCTCTCCCAATCCCCTCCTTTCGTCCGGCCCGAGCCATCCGCCGCCTCCTGTTGCCACATCACAGGGGTGCCTGGCGTGCTAGACGATCTCGGTTTCGGTCTTGGTTCTTTTCAAGAGAACTCCCCCTGGGGCTTCGGCCCGTCCCGCCGGGGTGCCGGGAAGGACCTCCAGGACCTCGATCCCGCAAATAACCCTCAAAGACGGCTCAAGATGGCCTCCAAGCAGCCACGTTGGCCCAAGATGGTCTCCAAGATGGTCCAAGATGGCCTCCAAGTCCGCCCAAGATGGTCCAAGACGGCCTCCAAGACGGCCTAAGAGAGTCCAAGATACCTCCAAGTTCGCTCAAGAAGCCTCCAAGACGGCCCAAGAGGCCTCCAAGAGGTCCTCTAGGAGGGCCCGAAGAGGCGATAATCATTGATTAGCCTTACGGTTTTGAAAAATTCTGGCATTTGCTTATTCTCCGCATTCCGACGGCTCAAGACGGCCCAAGAGGCCCTCAAGATCCCCCCAAAGATCGACTACGAGGCCTCCAAGATGGCCCCCTGACGGCCCGAGAGGCACCCAGGACGGCCCCAAGAGGGCCCCAAGAGGCCTCCAAGACGGCCGAGATAGCCTCCAAGACGGCTAAGATGGCTCCAAGATGCCTCCAAGACGGCCCAAGATGCATCCAAGACGGCCCAAGATGGCCTCAAGATGGCCCAAGATGGCCCAAGAGGCCCCCAAGAGACCTCCAAGTCCGCCCAAGAGGCCTCCAAGAGGTCCTCCGGGAGGGACCGAAGAAACCAACATCTGTAATTGTCCGTCGGTTTTTCAGAGATTTTGGAGCGGCTTCCGACGGCCCAAGACGATCCAAGAGGCCAGCAAGATCGCCCCAAGAGCGCCCAAGAGGCCTCCAATATGGCCCCAGGACGGCCCAAGAGGCCCCCAAGACGGCCCGAAGACTGCCCAAGAGGCCTCCAAGACGCCCAAGATGCCTCCAAGACGGCCAAGATGGCCCCAAGAGAAACAGAGATTGATTCAAGATGTTTCCAAAAACAGCCAATATGCACTCACTATTGCCCAGGATGGCTTCAAAAAGGCCCAAGACGGCCCAAGAGGCCCCCAAGAGGCCGCCAAAACGTGCCAAGAGAGGTCACCAAAAGGCAAACGTCATAGATGTTCGTTCGGCTTGTTTTAAGGATTTTGGAATATGCTGCATTTCGGTCCTCCGACGGCCCAAGACGGTCCAAGAGGCCATCAAGATCGCCCCAAGACGATCCAAGAGGCCAGCAATATGGTCCCAGGACGGCCCAAGACGTCCCCAAGACGGCCCCAAGAGGGCCCAAAGACGGCCTTAGAGGCCTCTAAGACGCCCAAGATGGCCTCCAAGACGGCCCTGAAGCGCCTCAAGAGGGCCCCAAGCTGGTTCAGAAAAGCCCAAGTGGCCAAAGAGGCCCCCAAGAGGTGCCCAGAGGCCCCCAAGAGACACCCAAGAGACCCCAAGAGGCCCCAAGAGAGCCCAAAATGGCCCCAATGTGGCCTCCAAGGCGGCCCCAGGATGCCTCCAAGGCCGCCAAGATGGCCCAATCGAGCTCAAGAGTGCCTCAAGAGGCTCCGAAGCGGCCTCCTCCCCCCTTCTCCTTTTTCCTTAATAACCTCCTCTTCCTCGACCACGTGTTCCCCGAAGGCGTTCCAAACAAACTCGGGGAACACATGGTCGATAGTTTGGCCAAGCTCTAACCCAACTTTCGGCCACATAGGCGCTTCCACGCAGGCAGGGGGCGGCGTTGATTCGCCGTAGGCGTCTTCGATGAAAGCTGTCTACTCCTTTGTTCGCGCATCCATCCCACTCACCAACCCGCACCTGAGGTTGCAAACCTCATGCGGCGGCGATTGCGATGAGTGCTTGCAGCTGGGTGGTGCATATCGGCGGCCGCGCTAGCCCGCGCATGCTCGCGCGCACGGCGGCCAACTCATTTGGCGCGGCCGGCGCGACCGCGGTGGCGCTGACCGCTGGGCACTTCACAGCGCGTCTCGCAGGCCGCGCTGACACGCGGGCACTTCGGTGCGACTCGGTGCTTTGGGCGGGCGCGGCATCATGGCGACTTCGACAACGGTGTAGGCACGATGATGATAGTAGCGACGATGGTGACGGTGATGACGACGGCGGCGACAGGGCCAATGATGGCGCCGATGCTGGTCAGGCCGATGGTGATGATGGTCTCGCCTTGGTGATGAACGTTTTGGGAGGATTTCGCCATGCGCGCGCGAGCGGCCCGCATGGTGTGATTTGACGTGACGGTGCCCCCCCCCCCCAGAGCGCGCGCAAGGGCTCTCGAATGATCTAGACACGCGCGAGGGGCCCGTTTCGTCGAGTTGGGTGGAACAATGTAAACACCTCGTTTTCGGAATAATCCAAACGAACGCGCGCGCTGACCTTGTTTCGAGAACTAAATGTTGCAAAAACATATGTTCAGATCTGTGTTCGGGACAATTGATTCTCAAATCCGTAGGGAAAACTTGGGTGTTGAAGGATTTCTGCACGCGCGTGCGACGACGCGCGCGAGGGTACTTAGCATTTTTGTTGCAAGGGTTCTCGAAAACGGATGATGTCAGATAAATGGGTTCGCGCGCATAGTATTGGTTGCAAAGGATGGCGGCGGGGTGTCAAATCCGATTCTGCTGGGACGCCCCGCTAATGTTTAGGATGGACGATGGGGCAGAATCATAAGCACATTGCACTACCGAAGGCGAGCGGATAACCATGTGGGTGTATATTCTAATTTCTGCTTCAGAAAGAGACTCGTTGTGGTACAATATATGCGGTGCGTAACGACGCAAAACGATACAAGACAAGGCGAATCAATTCAAAGCAGCGCAGAACAATCCAACGCACGGCATAGCCAGGCAAAGCAATACAACACGATACAACATATTACAAAACAGTAGAACGCACAACATAGCTCGCCATGACAATACTAAGCAATGCGAAGCAACGAAGGCTTAGACGACGGGCGGCGACGAAGCGGCGACGGGGCGGCGATGGCGACGACATAGCCACCGAACCGAACCCCAGGCCCAGACGACGGGGGGGGGGGGGCGACAAGGCGGCGACGGGGCGGCGGCGGCGACGACATAGCCGCCAAGCCGACCCCCACGCCCAGAAACTTGTTCCAGATATAAGAACCCCTAAGTGCCTTCTGTCTTGATTTGTCGTATCTCTCTCCTTCTCTCTCTCTCTCTTGCTCTCTCTCTCTCTCTCTCTATCTCTCTCGCTCTCCCCCTATGTCCTTTTTTCTCTACGTCTCTATCTCTCTCTCTCTCCCTCTTCCTCTTGAGTTGTTGTTTCTCTCTCTCTTCATCGTCTGTCTCTCTCTCTCTCTCTGTCTCTCTCCCTCTCTCTCGACATACATATACCAACTGCATAATAACTATGTTTATATATTTTTTTGTTTATCTCTGTCTCTCTGTCTCGCTCGAGATCTACTTCTCTCTCTCTCTCTCTCTCCCTGAGAGGAGACACTCAGAAACGGCCTCGGAACCCGCGTTATCCTGCACAGATGCCCGCACACACGCAGCAGCAAGCTGAACATGCCCCATGTCGCTTAAATCAAAGTTTGGCGTACGAGCGCAAAACAGATCGGTAGCTTAATACCACGCACTGGGGAACAGACAGGGGCAACGAGAGGGAGAAAATCAACTCGGGAACTCTCAGTCGCGCTGAAGTCTCAGTCGTGCTCGTCAGCCTCCTCTCCGTTGTCCGCACTGCAGACGGGCACAGATGCTTGCACCGCGGTGGCAACCTGCGCGAGGGTCAGTGCGATGCCCAACAAAGCACGAAATGTGGGCTCCGTCGCCGCTGGCCCATTGAGCCGCCAACTGCGCGAGCAACTCATCGTCGAGCCGCCCCCAGGCCTCCACCGCTAGAGCTGTGGCGGCAAGCTGGCTGGACCCATCGCCGGAACGCTGTCGCCTTGCCTGCGTGGCCTCCGCCGCAGCTGCACCGTCCTCTAGCGCAGCCTTGCGCCGCAAAGCATCGCTCGCGCCAAGGATGCGTCACCGTGGCGTCCACCCATGCCTCCTCCCACAGCCAATGGCTGATGATCCATTCACTCATGATCCATCACTTCTCCCCTCTCCCCTGGGCAATTGGAGAAGCAAGCGAGCTGTCCCTGGTAGTACTTGCGCAGCTTGCTGAGACCCTGCGCAGTGTCAACGGCTAAACATCAAACAAGACTGAGTAACACTCTGTTGTGTGCGGCTGCCACAGCATCAGCCCTAATTGAACAAAGCGCTGTTGCGAGCATCGCGATGGATGAGAAAAACGCGTGCTCTGGTCGCAACATCGAAGCAATAAAGTGAAGATAATGCATCGAGACTGCACGTCTTTTGACGAAGGCTGTTCTATCAGACGGCCTACTCTGGTGGCAGCCACATGGGGACCGAGGAGCGTCCATGGCATCGACGCGCACGGCGAATGCGCCGATTGTGCCACCATGGCACCAGTATGCATCGTTCATGGTGTTACGAGCAAAAGTTATGATCAATCTCCACGCACGATATCCGTTCCTGGCACCAGCTACCAAATCCATGAAAAGCACGCTCTCTGTCGATTATCCTGACACCAACTGCCAAAACAATACAACTCATCGGACTGCAAAGGAACATAATCTCGGATTCGCCCAAGAGGGGCGCCAGGAAGATGAAGGCTCGCGCACATGGGTCCGGTGGGGAGCGAGGGGACGTGTTCAAAGAAGGAGAAGGGACCACGAGATCTGGGAGATATCATGGCCCCAGCCATGATCCGCCACAGTACCTGCACGGAGTGGGCATATCAGAATGCTCGTGTGTTGGAGTTTTTCTTTAGTCTTTCTAGGGCCGACGCCCCCCCCCTCGACGCACGCGTCGTTCGAAAACCGCCCCCTATGAACTTGCTTTCCGGCTCTCTTTCTGGCCCGCAGACGGCCAAGATGGCTCTGAAGACGGTTTCCAAGACAACTAAGATGACACCAAGACGGCCCAAAATAGCATAAGACGCCCAGGAGAGCCCGAGAAGGCAAACCACACACGTGCTCATCTTGCTTTTGAAAAATATTGATGCCCTCACCTGCATTGGTTTCGGACCGCCCAAAACAGCCCAACAAACCCCCAGGAAATCTCCAAGACAACCCACGAAACCGCCAAAGAAGGCTTAAAAGTCGCCCAAGAGGACCCAAAGATCGCCCAAGAGCCTCCCAAGAGGGCCCCAAGACAGCCCTGAAGCGCTCCAAGAGGGCACAACGATGGCCCATAGAGGACCCCAAGACGGTTCGAAAACGTCGAACGGGCCAAGAGCCCCTGAGAAACCTTCTCTCCCTGACTTTCTGAATCTCCATCTCCTCCTGCTCCGCCTCTTCTCCTCCATTCCTTTTCCTTCTGTATAATTCCTCCCTGTCGTACCCCGAGGCCCGTCGGGAGGGCGGGCCGGACATATCGCTTGAGACCTCCTCATCCTGACGCGTAACGTTTGCAAGAACTTCACGGATGGAGGGCGGGTGGCTTCAAAAGGTGGCTCTCGCCTTGGCGCCTCGCACATCCCTTTTGACAAATTGCATAACAAGCTTTGCGGAATGAGAACAGGTCGTTCTCAAAATGTGGATCTCGCTTTAGCGCCGCGCACGTTCGTCTTTGAGCAACTGCAATACATTCAAGATGAATGGTAGCTCCTTTTTCGAAATATAATTATCGCCGTAGCGCCGCGCAGATTCGTTTGAATAACAATAAACAGGTTCAAGGACTCTCATGACTCATGGCTAACACTCCAGAGAGAAGTGCTTTGGCCAGATGTCGAACTGTCAGGGCGCGGCGATGACATTGATTCGTGCTGTTGACATCCTGAGCTTGGCTCTCTGGCACCATGCAGAAGCGTCCAGACGCAACAACAATACCGACCATACGCGCGGTCGAGGTCCTGGGAACGGTGTCCTGGCACACCTCTTGTGCTCCCGGCCCCTGTCGCGGACGCCGCGATAGGGCCGAGACACCACACAGTCGGTGCACCTGGTGTACCCGGCACTTTGCTGCCCGCAGCCCTCGAACTCCTGGACTGGTCTACTGCTCGTTCGCCACCGCCACTGCGCCCTGGCAGCCACCGTGGCTTCGCCCTGGCCTCGGCCCCGGCTGCTGCCACGGTCCTCGCTGCCTCGGCTGGCCGCTCCGGCCTGCTCTACGCGGAACTCTCCCGCGCCTGAGCGCTCCCCCCCCCCTCCCCCCGCGCGGCCGCCCTCGTCTTCTTCCTTCCTCCTGCACGCCGGGCAATTCGCATCTCGGCTGTCCCGATTGGCCACACGCTGGAGCGGACTGCCTCCGCCTCGCCGCCGACCGAAGGAGAGTCTGGTGCACTTCGGGAGTCCCAAATGGTTGCTTTCCAACGGGGCCCTTCCTTCAGGGACAGTGAATCTTTGGAGGGGTCGGCGGTGGACAAACCTCCCTTTAGTAAACCTCCCCTTAATGAAAACGACCTGGGACCGAAACCGACGGAGCTGGACCCGCAAAAATGACGGCCGCGACGCCCTCTCGCGAACCGAAAACGGCGAATTCCTTAATCGACGTGTCAGGGTAGGAGGTCTATCCACCTCCGAAGGGGACGCTTTGTTGCTACACCATTGAAGGGTCTTGGGTGCACACTGGTCTTCCACCCCCTCCCCTTACCCTACTGTCGGGCGTGTCCCCTTCAGGGGGATTTTCGATGGAAAATAAACTCAAAAATGCCACAAAAAGGTTCTAAAATACTCAAAAAATAGTCCCTGTACTATCTTTGGAGTTTTCGTTTTTGTCGTTGTATGTTTGGGGCATTTGTTATTTTTCGTCGGGAATCCCCCTGTAGGGGGACAGGCCTGACTTAACCTTACCCCTCTGCTTCTCCTCCTCATCCCTGACAGGACAAAGACGCTGGAGTGGAGATCGCGGCTCGGCTCGGTGAAGGCGCAAGCCGCCCCACTTCTACCCAAATAGATTCGACTGATGTTGCACGCAAACGCCGTGCGCTCGCAAGCCAGCAGATTTTTCCGCGCAGCCCTGTGCAACGAACGGCGGGCGACTAAGCATTTGATGGTAGGAGATGCTCGCGTTGTCGCGTTTACGCGCGCGGTGAATCTCGTATCGGAGGGTACTTCGGGCAACGAAAGAAACAAATGTGCCCCCCCCCCTGGGAGATAGCTTAGACACCAAACAACGTTTACAAGCGTGGATCCCGAAATGTGTCTTTGGCCATCTATGTCGTGCAACCGATGCGGATCAATGTTTTGCAGTGTCACCTGCGGTGTTATCGGGGTGGTACAGCATACGCGGTGCGACCGACGGTGTGTCATTTATGTTGCATAACTGATCTTTACGAACGAGCTGACACATCCCATGATCTTGCAAACATCCAACCCAACCGCCCGCAACCTGGTTTGCAAAACCCATGCGGCGGCGACTGCGATGAGTGCTTGGCGCTGGCTGGTGCGTTTTAGCGGCCGCGCCAGCCCGCGCAAAGACGCGCGCGCAGCGGCCTGCTAGTCTGGCGCGACCGACGCGGCCGCGGTGGCGCTGACCTCTTGGGCAAATACCAGCGGAAACTTCAGTACGAGTCGGCGACTTCGGCGGGCGCGGTATCATGGCACGTCCACAACGGTAGACACGATGATGATAGTAGCGATGCTGGTGGCGAAGATGGCAGCGACGACAGCACAGCCAATGACGGCGCCGATACGCCGATGCTCATCACGCCAATGACGATGAGGGCGCCCTCGCGTCGCCTATGAAAGTGTTGGAAGGAGTTCGACATGCGCGCGCGGCCGACGCGAGTGGCACACATGGTATCATTTGACACGGATCGTGCCCTCCCCCACCCCCCCGCACGCGAGCAAGGGCCTTCGAATGATTTCGGCATGCGGCGCGAGAGGCCCCTTTGGCAGAACTCCATGAACATGTTGACAAAACCTACGGTTTCTCAAGAATCCGCAAGAGCGCGAGCGCAAGCTATTTTGAAAACTACTGTGCCGAAGCCATCGGAGGTTGGGGGGTGAGATCGCAGTGGAACGGAGGCCCCCAACCGAGAAATCGTTCCGTTTCGTTCGTGTCGTGCGTGCGGGCGAGGCGAAGCTGCGTGGGCGAGCGAGAGGAATAAACCCGCCGTTGCTAGGGCGGAGTCAAAACACATCATTGTCTCCCTCCCGCCCGTCCGGCGGTGGCCCGCGGTGTCCCGCAGCGTCCCGTGGTGTCTCGTGGTACACGCCGTTGCTAGGGCGAAGTCAAGACAAATGATTCACCCCCTCCCGCCCGTCCGGCGGTGGCGCGCGGTGTCCCGTGGTGTCCCGTGGTGTCTCGTGGTGTCCCGTGGTGTCCGCCATTGCTAGGGCGAAGTCAAGACAAATGATTCTCCCCCTCCCGCACGTCCGGCGGTGGCTCGCAATGTCCCGTGGTGTCCCGGTGAGTGAGATCGATCATGACGTCAATAGTGAGATCGATACTGATATCGATACTGGGATCGATGTGGTGCCCCGAGGTGTCCCCAAAAATGAAATCGATAGTGATATCGATGGTGAGATCGAAAGGTGTCCACTGGTGTCCCGTTGTGTCCCGTGGTGTCCCTCTGAGAGAGATCGGTAATGAGATCGATAGTGAAATCGATAATGAAATCGATGTGGTGCCCCGAGGTGTGCTGTGGTGTCCCGCGGTGTCCCAAAAAATGAAATTGATTGTGAGATCGATGGTGAGATCGACAGGTGTCCCGTGGTGTCCCGTGGTGTCCCGTTGAGTGAGATCGACAGTGAGATCGATGGTGGGATCGATAGTGGGATCGGTGTGGTGTCCCGAGGTGTCCTATGGTGTACCGTTGAGTGAGATCGATAGTGAAATCGATAGTGAGACCGATGGTGAGATCGAGAGGTGTCCCGCGGTGTCCCGTGGTGTCCCGTTGACTGAGATCGATGAGGAGATCGATGATAAGGTCGACAAGTGTCCCGTCGCAGTTTTGAAAGGGATTCTCGCGACAGCACGCGCGCAAGGGCGCTCGAACGATTTCGACATGCGCGCGAACAGCCCATTTGGTCACATTGCGCGCGTAATGACCATCTCTTTATATATATATACACACAGATATACATATATATATATATATATAAATAAGTAAACCGAAAACGTACATAGCTTTGTATATAGTTTAACATATATGTATATA